GCTTCACAGATAAGGAAAAGCTAAAGGAGTTCATCACCACCAAACCAGTATTATATGAAATGCTGAAAGGTATCCTTTAAGAAGAGGAAGAAGAAGAAAAAGGTAAAGATACAAATTATGAACAACAAATAAACATCTATCAACAAGTGAATCTAAAAATCAAGTGAATAAATAATCAGATGAACACAATAAACTGGTGAATATAATAGAATCAGGGGCATAGAAAGGGAGTGGACTGACAATTCTCGGGGGGAAGGGGGCGGGAGAGTGGGGGAAGAGAATGCACAAAAAATGTACAACTATGAACACGTACATTGTAGGGGGGTAAGGGCATGGGGTGGGGTGGGAACTGGGTGGAGGGGAGCAATGGGGGAAAAAAGACGAACATCTGTAATAATCTGAACAATAAATGTTAAAATTAAAAATTAAAAAAATAGCCAAACGAAACAAGAGAACTGGGAACATTTGACAGCTAAGGTATCTTCCTTATCTTTTCAGGAGAGGTATCTAACACAGTTCATGGAATAATTTATTGATCCCTTCTCTCTGTTCCAATAGCAATTTGCTTATATCTCTATGAGAGTACTTTAATCTATCTCCATTTTCTACTAACACCAGGTCAGACCTGACCTAATTTGACTCCCCAACCCAATTCTGCAATACAGGGACTCAAACATAAAATACAATAAAAAGAGCATCCCACTTAGATTTAGATATGTCAGTCAGAATCCCAGCAGGAAACATGGTACACACACAAAAAGATTGAAAGTGTTTAAGGAACTGACTACTATTTACAAAATGTAAGCAGGTGAGGGGAAATAAGTAAGGGATGGTAGAGCAACCTAGGGTCCCCCATACCAGGAAGCTATTACTACCCTGGACACAGAGGCAAGGGGAGGGAGGGAGCGCAGGAACTGACAAGATCTGAGCTGTAGAAGAGGCTCACCCGCAGGGGCTGTGGCCTTCAATGGAATAACAAAACCACTTCCCCACTCCACATGACCTCCCACTCCTGTCCTCTCCTCTAATATCTCTCATTGGCTGAACTTAACTAGAAACTAGAGGGAAGAGAGTTTGGTCCATGCAGTCTGTAAATACAGCTCCTAGTGCACAGAGGAGGGTAGAATAGATCTGGTAGGCAAATAGGAATATTCTGAGACTAAGGTTTCACACAGAGTTGTTCATTATACAGTCTTTGTCATAATAAAAAATTAGAATGAACCTAAATGTTCAGCACTGAGTAAGAAAATTACATATATATATCCTTACCCAAGGATATTTTTTCCATTGTTTTTTTTTAGAGAGGGCAAAGGGGAAGAGTGAAGAGAGAAACATTGATGTGAGAGAGACACATCGACTGGTTGCCTCCCAAACAAGCCCCAATGGGGCCTGGGATTGAGTTTGCAACTAAGGTAGTGCCCTTGACCAAAATCGAACCTGCAACGACACAGTCCATGGGCCAATCCTCTAACCAATGATCAAAACTGGCCAGGGCTATATATATTTTAATGAAGTGGGAAAATGCTTGTGATATAATGTTAAGTGAAACAGGATACAAAAGTCTCCAAATTGCTGCCTTTGTAATTTTGTCTTTAGTGCTAAGATATATGAAAATATGCACAGAATGTTAATAGTGTTATCCATAGATAGTGAGATTATATATTATTATTAACTATACTAGAGGCCCAGAGCACAAAATTCTTACACAAATAGAGTCCCTAGACCTGGCTGGCAATCAGGGTTGATCAGGTTCCCTGCCTCCCTGCCTCTCCACCTCCTCCCTCCCTCACTCCCTCAGCACCCCACTGCTGTCGCCACTGGTCACCCACCCCATGGTGGTCAGCGCACATCATAGCAAGCAATTGAACTCCCAGTCTCCCGGTCAAACTCCTGAGGGGACACTTTGCATATTAGCCTTTTATATATATAGATGGTAAATCTGTCAAAGTAACTAATGCAAATGTACACTACATCAATAAATAAAATTAGGTCTTCAAGCATAAAACACCTGTCCCATGAAAGAGTCATTGCCCTGATCACCTCCATAGAATTGGGCAGGACTTTTAAAAAGTGGCATCAACCAATCAAGCTTCTTCAAAGAAGATAAAGTGATACTTTCGAGCCTGGAATCCAACTTATGTGAGGAACATGAAAATAAACGGGGCACATTTCTCTATTCCTTTCTGTAGTTCACATCATTCTCATTTCCCCCCACCAGCTCTTTAAATAGGTATATATGGAGGTCTGTAATTATAACCATTTTAACCAATAAAAATATTATGCCTCCCTCACCCGAATAGGTCATTCAAAATAAAAACAAGTATAAACCCTAAAACAAATTATATTTTGAAAGAACATAAAATTCCAGGCATGTCTTGGTCAGGTAGTTCAGTTGGTTGGAGCGTTGTCCGGAATACAGAAAAAAAAAAAGGTTGCTGATCGATCCCTGGTCAGGGCTCGTACAGGAGGCAACTGTTTGATGTTTCTCTTTCACATAGATGTTTCTCTCCACCCCCTCTCTAAAAATTAATTAAAACATATGTTTGAGTAAGGATTTAAAAAAAAAATCCAGGCACATTCTGTTTTTCTCTCTCTCCATCATTCCGGCTTTGCTGACATTGCAAACACATGTTTAATTTACCAAGTGAGTAATCTGACACTGATACATAGGTAAGTAAAGTACTTGGTGCTAGAATGTATGTGTATATATACATACATACAAGACATATCTGTAGATACAGATATAAATATAAACATCAATTCAGAGGCTTTATATGCATACACAAACATTGTCAAGTGGTCTTCGGAATTCCTTCATCAGTAACAGTGTTGAAAGTTCTCAAGATTTCTCAATCCTCTACTCCCTGTATCTCTCAGCCTCTGCATATTTGAATATTTTCTTTTTCCTTATTATAACAGTAAGTATGGAAACTTTTCAATATTTTAATGGTGAAGAGTGCAGCTCCTCCAGAAGATAGGATAATGAGAATCAGTTTTCCAACAATTGGACTTGACCTGGTTTGCCAGCCAGGGCCTCAGGGCCTCAAACACAGCAGGTGTCCATAAATGTTTGTTTAATAAATGAATTTCACTACAGCACTTTCACTCTCACATTTACTTACCTTCCTGAGTGTGGCAAAACAGAGTCACTGAAGACCACATTTCAAGACCTCTTTTGAGAGAGAGAACTTTTGCGCAGTTCCTTGAGTCACAAAGGAAAGAGGCAAACCTGATGCTTCAATTATCATTATCACTCGATAATTGTTCTTAAAATTAGAGAAAGTAAAAAAATAAATAAAATAATATTGAGAAAGTCGATAATAAGCAGAACTGAGCACAAAGTGTGGTTTAAGGTAAAGTAGCAGATTTCTAGTTGTACTCAGCAGCACTGATGATTATAATAATTTATGCTTTAAAATAACTATGTTAAATCTAAATACCAGAACATATACATTTCTAGGCTAGTATAACGGAAATAGAAATTTACTCTCTTCGCTGACCTACTGTGAGTTGATTCTGTGCATATAATACTCATAGAAATGTATGAGTATTTTTCAATGTAATTTATTAAATCACTCAAATACATAAAAGTGAAAATAAAATTCAGTTTTGAGAGAAATGGGCGCTAAAAGCAACCTTACTAGCTCCTATAAAGACAAAGATCATTTAAACGGTTTTCATACTTTTTTTTACACCCAACTCTCTAGATCCCATTTTTCAAGTAAACAGTATGTCCTATAAACCTAAAGTATTGGTCACCAGCATTTTCTCTCCTCTTTTAGGGCTGTGATTAATCTTTAAGCAGAGTGAAAACCCTTCACATTTTTCACCCTACATTTCTTTGCATTCTCTCTGAATCATCACAGCAGCAGGTAGTAAGGCTTAGTGGCTTTTAGAGGAGATTGGAAATCAGGTGTAACAAGTTTAGTTAACCCTTTATGGGCTGAGTCACTGATTCTCAGAAGAATGATCTCAAGTCAAGAATTCCCGGGAAAGCCAGGTGTCCATGACTTCCCTATGCACACGAATTCTTCGTTCCTGCATAACCTCCTTCTCTACAGTGGGCCAATGTAGGGTGCGGATCATAAAAAAGGAGAAATGCTTCCTTCCTGGTTATTGAGAGGGTGATCGCTCTGAGAGTAAATGGATGACCACATTTCTATTGGATGTGTCTAATCTTTAGCCAGCTACCTCCCACACACGTACACCCTCTATCAATGACCTTCAGTTTTCTCATGGTGCAGTGGAAATATTAGGAGCCTTGGGGTCAGAAAGACCTGGGTTCAGATAGAGCGCTTGTCATTTATTCACTAAATCCGCTTGGACAAGCTGTGTTCAGATTGTTGTTTTCTCAAATGTAAATATGGGGAACGAAGAGCTCCATGGAGATTAGCTCTAACAGAGAGCTATTGTGAGGATTAAAGGAGACAAGCCAAATATGAAAGCAACTGAAACATACTTGGTACTAGACAATGTTCATACCCTTTATCTTGTTTATTCTTGACAAGTTTATGCTAATTTACAGGAGAGACTGGAGATTATCTGGCTGAATCCTCCTCCTCCATTCCCCCAGGCCACATCCATTTTCCTCAGAAAACATGCCCAAGCCCAACTAACTGGCTGTCACTTTTGCTGTCTGTTGATCAGCTATTGAGTGGCATGAAGGTAAAAATTGGCACTCCTCTTTGTTTAACATCACTGGCTTTGTAAATTTGTGAAATCATAACCAGGCAGAGACAGGCAGCCAGGAACCCAGCAGTGAGCGAGGAAGTTGACGCATCAGTCCCTGAAGAGCTTCTCTTGTGGGAAGGAAGCAGGTGATGATGAAGGAGAGGATGTGTCCCCGCGTCTTCCACAGTTACCACCGAGACCCAAGACTGGTTGTCTCCTTATGAGCATAAAAAGGAGCTTTCGATGAAAGTGAAATCACAGGGAAGGGTACAATTAAGTGCCAACAATGCACTAGCTACTAAGATGTCTAGGTCAAAATACTGTACTTGAAACTTCTCACAGGGTGAGACTAACAGAATCACAAAATACAAATTGGTAAAAGTCGGAACTTGGAACAAATGCCAGACATTCAGTCATACCTTGCTTTCCTCTTGGAAAAAAATCCAGAATCTGGTTTTAGGCTAGCTTGTTTAAACATGTTTACCAACCCATCCGGGGAATACCAAGGCCTTGTTTCCATCCCAAGCATGCTCCAAGGTAGGATTCGTGATCAATATTTGAGTCTATCCCAGACAAGATAGTTTTGGGTAGACTAAATAATAAAAGAGAATAGTTTTATTTTCTTGTTTTGCAGATAATAACCACGTAGTTCATGGGAGCTAACCAGTGGAGAAGCAAGCCAATATTTGCAAGGCAGTAGAGCCAGGAATGGCTGGCAAGGCCTGGAGGAGCCTCCACTGCACAGGCTTGAAAAGGGCCAGCTCTCAGGTTTGCACAGGGCACTCATGGTAAAGGAGACACTGTATTTCAGCGTGAATGTCAACAGTTTGCTTGGACTGTCATATCTTTTTCAAACAGCAGATGCAAAAACAACCAAGCTGTGCTTTCATAGGATATTTATGAACCCATCAGTATGATCAAAACATTTAAATAATAGATAAAATATATTACATGCCACAGCAGTACTTCAAATGCCATAAAGGGGATTTTTACATGGGTACAATATGGATGTACTCTATACTTATAAATGATATTTTGTTATAAAATAGGGCATGTGCAAGTTTTAAATTTTTTTGAAAACATGAATTAAGTTATTTTAAAGTTTATTTTTTAGTTAGTAGGTGATGTACTAATTAAGCAGAAACTCTGAAAGTATTCAATATGTTGTAACCAAACTACAGTGAATGCGCCGGTTGAATAACTAGAAACTCAATTGATGGATCAGACAGTCTCATAGTTTTTGGTTTGTGAAACTAGAGGAAGATTTCCAGGGGAGTAGTCATCAGGAAGTTAGATGAGTCAGTTAGGCTCCCGTTAAAGGTAGGTAGAGGTGAGGAATGGAGAGATACAGTCTATAGTTCAAGAGAACAACAACAACAACAACACCCAGCTGACTGGAATCCAGAAAACCTGAGTTTTGGTCCTACTTCCTCCATCTGCATTGCCTTCTTTGAACTTCAATTTCCTTATCTATAAAATGAGGGTGTGGGCTTACTGCACACAGCCATTCTGAGCCTCAGGTGGGGTAGAATATCAGCAATGGTTTAACCACAGGACTCAAGACCATCAGGTGGGGAATCACAGCCCCAGCCCCTATGAACTCTGTGACGGTCAAATTTCCATACCTCTCTGAGACTCATTTTCCTCAACATTGGGATAACAACAGTATTTATCTCTCAGGGATGTTATAAATGAATTGTAGTGAGTTACTTTTTTAAAGCACAGTATCTGATACACACAGTGTATGTTAAGTAAACTGCATCTTTCAATGAAATCTTGATGGAAAACAATGCTTTATAGACATGGTCTGAAGTTCTTAATATAAACCAAATGTGTCCTCTCTTTTCTTATCTTATTCATAGACATATTATTTTTTCTCTTGATCCCTGACTACAAGATAAGTACTATCCAGCTAGGAAAAAAAAAAAAAAGGAGCTTACACTACTGCTTATTGACTATTTTGAAAAAAAAAAATCAAGAGGTAAATTTTGCATGGTGTCTTTATGTAACTGTTGGCCAATTCTCTTATTTGAGCTGATGCGATGACCTTCAGGATGCCATAACCCTAACTTCTAATAAATGAAATTCAGCTAGTGTCACTGGCTTGAAATGGCACACAGCAAGAATAACTACAGCTAGCAGCCAACTCTTCACCACAGAGTATTATGCCAAGCCTAACAACAACTTACTTCTGCTCATTTAATTGCCATCTATGGAAAGGTGAAAAACAAAAGGCACTTGTTAATTCTGTTTCACTTTCCTGTGTTAGCTACAGGTTCAATCTGAACTCACTTTGTGTACAGCGTGTTGGTGAGAGAAGCTGGGGACATGGCGAGTGAACTTTGAGTTCTCTGCCTCACTTGTATGTCCCTGGAATCTCCTGACACTGTAAAAAATGATCCCCTGCCCTAACCGGTTTGGCTCGGTGGATAAAGCATCGCCTGCGGACTGAAGGGTCCTAGGTTTGATTCCGGTCAAGGGCATGTACCTTGGTTGCAGGCACATCCCCAGTGGGAGGTGTGCAGGAGGCAGCTGATCGATGTTTCTCTCTCATCAATGTTTCTAGCTCTCTATCCCTCTCCCTTCCTCTCTGTAAAAAATCAATAAAATATATTTTTTAAAAAATGATCCCTTGTTAGGACGGGTCTATTACCTCAATTCCACTGCACAGGCCAATCCAGGTGATGCACAGGGCTGCAAAGACAGCACTAAGCAGGAGTTCATTCTCTAGAATGGAGACTTCTCATAAATGTGAATCCACAGAAGTAGCTATAAATGAGCTAATGAGATGCATAAAGGGAGCTATAAAGGAGCTAATGAGACCCATAACCTGACTGGCCTTTCTGGCCAAACTCCCCACAAGTATCAGACATTCATGCATACTTTATCTGGAAAACTCACTTCAGGACAAAATATGGAATTCACAGTTCAATCCTCTCCAGGGTAAAAGCCCACAATTCATTTTTCTAAAGTGAATATGTGGAAAGACACCTGTTGGGTGTGCCATGCAATTTGGTATACAACTAAGCACAGGTTATTTTTAAAGAACACCTAGCTTTGAGAACACAGGCAATGCTGGACTCTCCTTGATACAGACTCCAAAACCATTTTGACATCGACTGAATAGATGCCAAGTTAGTCATGTACCCAAAATAAGACTACTCTGCCTCACTTATATGGATCTTTAAACCTATCTAAGGAATGTCAAGAATCACTCTTTTCAGTCCATAATTTTAGAGTGTCAACATGATGTTTACTTATCATTTCAGCCAAGATTTTCAAACCAGTGTTACATGCCAAGCACAGTCTTTATTTCTAGGTGCCAAAATATGACAAAAGAATTGAAATAATATAATATCAGGCTTTAGCTATTTTAAGGAACTGAAGAAAATGAATTATGCATAATCCTGAGAAAATGATTCTTTTTATTTGTTTTAAATGCCACTGTGAAAATACAAGTTTCCATAATTTTCCTTTTGGTCCAGTACTGGATATAGTTTAAGATGATCATAACCTCAAGAAAACCTGGAGCCTTTGATGATCTCCACATCAGAGAATAAAAATTCTCATTAATCGTTCTACATGAGTAAACTTCTTGAGAGAAAAAAAATGTCTGCTTCTTCAGGATAATCCTTCTGACCTCAGTGTACTTGATTAAATCCTTTATTTCTGCACTCAATGCATCATATGCTACTTTAGTCACCTCCCTCCATATGCCCTATTCTCCACTGGACTGCAAGTTTCCTAAGGATTACCTCTGATTTCCTTGTTCTATTTCCCAGTGCCTGATACAGAATACGTGCTCAGTAAGTGTTTGTTAAACATTACAAACTTCTCTTTAAAATGTGATTGATACCTTAAAAAATTATTTTTCATTGATGCCCTCGCTGGTGAGCTTAGTTGGTTGGAGCATCGTCCTATGCATAAGAAGGTGGCAGGTTCAATTTCCAGTCAGAGCAAATACCCAGGTTGCAGGTTCAATCCCCTGTAGGGGTGTGTACAGGAGGCAACTGATCTCTCTCTCTCTCTCTTTCTCTCTCTCTCTCTCTCTCTCCCCCTCTCTCTCTCTCCCTCCTTCCCTCCCTTCCTCTTTCTCTAAAATAAATTAAAAATTGACTTAAAAATTGTTGTGATTGATAATCATTTCAATAAGATACAAAAAGAAATTTGTTCCATAGAATGATGTATATCCTAGAAAAGCATTTTTATGGGTCAAATTGCATTGCATTTCATGAGCAGGATCTGTAAGTCTTCTGAATAATAAGTATAACATGAAATGGAGGTTAAGCAGTTATTTGATGAAGTGTTTCAAACTAGGCATAAATGCACACTTCAAATACCCTTCTTACCAGACACAATTTTTTAAAATTAAATCATCTTTTTTTCCTACATTGATATTTCTGAAACACAATTGATTCCTTAGGCAAAGTCAAATTTTAAAACAGATATGTGCTTGTTTTGTTTTAAAATATGTTTTTATTGATTTCAGAGAGAGAAAGGGAGAGGAAGGGGGAAGGAGAAAGAGAGAGAAACATCAATGGTGAGAGAGAATTATTAATTGGCTGCCTCCTGCATACCCCCCCCACACACACACACACACACCGGAAATTGAGCCCACAACCTGGGCATGAACCCTGACCACAAATCAAACCATGACCTCCTGGTTCATGGGCCAATGCTCAACCACTGAGCAACACCACCTAGGCACAAATAAGATTTATAATTAAAAGATAAAAAGGAAAAAGGAAACCCAAGCCCAGAAGTTTTACAAAAAATCTCCAAAAGCATTTGTATCACTTGTATATGAACTACAGGGATTATGACTAGAAGTATAGAAATGGAGGGTGGATAAAGTGATACAATGACAGAGATAAGTGGCAAAGAATTATCCTATTCTAAACTTAGACTCCAAAATCACTTCAGGAGAAACTTCACTAGCGTCAAGTATAAAGTTTCTCTTTGGCTTCCTAAGTCAAATATATTAAGACTTTTAAATCCCTGAATGCATAAAGGGCACCCTTGATGTAACATGTACATCAAGGCTGGACAGACCTGAGTACAACTTCTTCTGGGCTCTGAAGTTGTTTAACTCCACTTCCAAAGTAAAAACGCATTTATTAATGCTACTACCGCTATTATGACAACAACAACAATTACAGCCACTATCACTTCTGTCTACCTTCTTCAGCTGAACCCTATGACAGGTGTTTTACACATATAATATCAAATCTTCATAGAGCCCCTTAAGAAAATTGCAATTATTTCCGTTATATAGGTGAGAAAGCTAAGCTAAAGACTGAGGCTTAAACAAAACTTACCATATGCCAGAGGCAGATTTCAATCTGAGTCTGTCCAATACCATAGTCTATCCTTGCTTTTTATTGGATTATCAAGCCCACCAACTACTTGAGTTTGGCGCTCCTGCAGAAAGCATTAATGCTTGCCTCTGGGTGTGGGGTTCAATTCAGTTCCAGGGCAATCATTTTTAATGTACTCCATTGACCTTTGGATAAGTGCTCATTTCTAATCAAAACAACATGGAGTGCCTTAATTAAGGAAAATAAAAAGGAAGTACCATTTCGGTCATATAACATAAAACACATAAAATTATTGCTCAAAGGGCGGTATAGGCAAGATACTAACAAGAAAAAGAGAAACAACTCCCATTGATGGAGTGCTTACAATATGCCATCACTGTTTTGAGTATTTGACATGCATTAGCCTGTTTATTTTCATAACAACCTCTTGTTATGCCCCTTTTGTGGATGAGAAAACTGAGGTACAAAAAGGTTAATAACTGGCCCAGGATGACATGGCTAAGTATCACAGTAAGAAGGAGAACAGGGGCTTAAATTCAGATAGAGATCCCATGCTCTGAATAAATTGTTTACAAAACAGAGTATAATTCAAAACCCAGTAAATGACAGTGCCGCTAATGGCTGCAAAGAAAGTCTGGCCATAGCCCACCATGCCATCTCCACACACAACATTGGGCCCTTTGATGGCAAGAGACCAATGGACTAGACAAAGAGATGAGGCTGATCCAGGAAGGCAATGGCTCTTTTTCTATGAAAATATTACCATCTTTACCAAAACCAAGCTGAAGAAAACCTTTAAGGGTGAATTTTAGGAAGAGAGGCAGTCATGTTCAAATTACTTTATGTAAAGAAAGAAAACAACCATCAATGATTTTTAGAACATCCACACTAAAAGCCACAAATATTTGCAGACTACAGAAATCTAACATCAATAAACTTTGAGCCATCATTGGAGTGGTAAGCTCTTCTAGGAAGAAAAGCATTTCCCCCATCTATTTTTTTTACATTTCTTCCATTAGATCTTTGTATTTATAATGATGATGATGATGATGATGATGGTTTTACATTTACTGAGTTTCTACTTTATGCCCAGAGTGTGATAAAAGTTTTACATTTAATAACGTAAATACTCATTTGATATTCACAAAAGCCCTACAGAGTCATTATTACTATTTTCTATACTGAAGAAACTGAGACTCAGAAAAGAAACTTGCCCAAGGTCAACAGCCATTTCATTTTTGTTTGATCTAAAAGCCCATAATATTAATTGTGTGTGTTCAGGATATATGTGTGGCCGCCTGACTGTCCCATCCTTATGCAGAAACAAAGGCCACAGTAAGCTCTGCACCTTCTGGCCAAGTTCCATCACCTCCAAGTCCTGGGCAGAAATGAATGGAGCCACACTGGCCAAAGACTGACCAGAAACCTCAGTGCGCTCTGACCACCTCTTTAGACTAGAAACAGGTACACTCCCTCATACTGATGATCTAACTAGAAAAATATCCCCAAGACAGACCAGTATGTTTAGTTTTCAGAACATTTGTCACTACAAAGTTCATTATAGTTCTGAAGGAAGGACTAGCGTGCTTCAAGACAGAACTAAAACACAAGAGGCTCAAGGAATGAAGCGAATGCTCCTAATATAAGTTTTAGTCTAAAACATGTTTGCAGTTGAACCTGGAAGGTGTGGCTCAGTGGTTGAGCATTGGCCCATGAGCCAGAAAGTCATGGTTCAGTTCCCGGTCAGGTTACTTGTGGGGTTGTGGGCTCAATCCCCAGTAGGGGGCGTGCAGGAGGCAGCCATTGATGTTTGTCTCTATCCCTCTCCCTTCCTCTCTCTAAAATCAATAAAAGTATTTTTTAAAATAAAATAAAATGTATTCTCCTTTGGATAAATTGTCCATAGCTGTGACTATTACATGTTGATAGCCAGAAATGATGGGACTAAGTCAGATAAGAACAGCCACTATGGAAATGTTTAAAATACTTACTGAGGTAGTAGGAAAAAGACTTCAAAGTTGACTACATCATTATTAAGTAACATTTTGTTAGACATTTCAATTCATAAGCACAGTAAGTCTTTGAATAGATAAAAATATCTTCTATTACAACCAATTACTATGATGGATGATAAAATATGAGAAAAAATAAAATGTCTTTTAACACTCTTCTCCCTACCCCCTCACACATGCTCAGACCTCCCCGAACCACTGTGCTTCTCAGGAAGTGCCATGCTCTTCCCAGTGTTGGTGATGCTCATAGTGCAACCTCTGCCTCCAACTCCTTGCTTCTCCCCTTTTGCCATCGGACTAAGCCACCTCAGCCACCCTCCTCCAGGAAGTCTCCATGGATTCCCTCCTCTGTGCAAGCATCAATCAAAGCACTTATCCCACGGTTTACTTTTTGGTCTCCACAAGAGACCAAGAATTCTTTGATGACAGAGACCACTCTTATTGTTTTTTATATCCCAGCACTTAGTTAAGGCTCTCAAGAAAATTCAGACTAAATGAATGAAAATATATTGAAAAATTAAGAGCTTCTTAGAAATAAAAGGGAAAAATGTCTAAAATGCAAATCTTGCACAGTGTAATCTGGTCCTCATTGTTCATAAGGGTGTGTTTAAAAACACACACACACAGAAGGATGTACTAGTACTTAACTGTCCTTCACTAAATATATTTTGTAACTTCAAACCACATAGATATACTGTTACTTTAAACTGATTTATTGTTCAACTAATGTATGAATTCAGACAGTGTAACTGAATAAGTATACATATGGAATGATAAAGCCACCACAAAATCGTGATACTAACGTAAAAAGCTCAATGACACTGAATAGGTGCTGCGTAGTTCTGACACTGATTCCAATAGGAACAAGCCGTTTACCCTTTGGTCTCAGGTTCTCTACCCATAAAGTGGGGGTGACCATCCTTGCCACTTCTTCATTCAGGTCTCGTAAGGACAATGGAGATACAGCGTAAGCATGCGAGTCTTCGCCATGAAGGCACCAGAATGGAACGGGTTACATACCCCCAGGTAGAGTTCCCACCGCCACCCCTCCCGGTAATAACCCTTCCCCACTCTGCTCCCGCCAGCAGGCTGAGGGTGTAGACTTTTGCATAAACGTGATGACAACCAAAATAAAGTCTACGTCGGTGGGCACAAGCTTTCCTCGCTGGGGCTCGGTCTGGATTAGAAACCGCGAGGGACTTGCTCCCCCGCGGAGGCCACGCCTGCGCCCCTCTGGACCCCGTTACGCTTGTGCCAGGTGAAACAGATCCCGGGCCTTTGCGCTCCTCCATCCAAAAAAGTGGGGCCCAGCGAATTCAAGGGTCAAGGTAACGGAGTAGATGGGGAGGAGGAAGAGGAGGTGAGGCTGGAGGGCTTGGGCGGAGAGCTTACCTGGCCTCGCCGAGGGGCGCCGGGGGCGGGTGCGGAACGAACACCCCACAATCAGACGGCGGGTGCGGAACGAACACCCCACAGTCCGACGGCGGAGGCTGCTGCTTCTTCTTGGAGCGCCAGAGGTGGAAAGGGGTGTGCTTCTTGGAGCTCCTGGACGGGCT